GGGGCTGACCCGAGCCGTCCACCTGACTTCAGGGCTGCCGGTCCGGGGCTGACCCGAGCCGTCCACCTGACGTCAGGGCTGCCGGCCCGGGGCTGACCCGAGCCGCCCACCTGACTTCAGGGCTGCCGGCCCGGGGCTGACCCGAGCCGCCCACCTGACGTCAGGGCTGCCGGTCCGAGGCTGACCCGAGCCGCCCACCTGACGTCAGGGCTGCCGGTCCGGGGCTGATCCGAGCCGCCCACCTGACGTCAGGGCTGCCGATCCGAGGCTGACCCGAGCCGCCTACGTCACGTCAGGGCTGCCGGTCCGAGGCTGACCTGGGCCGCCCACCTGACGTCAGGGCTGCCGGTCCGAGGCTGACCCGAGCCGCCCACCTGACGTCAGGGCTGCCGGTCCGGGGCTGACCCGAGCCGCCCACCTGACGTCAGGGCTGCCGGTCCGAGGCTGACTCGAGCCGCCCACCTGACGTCAGGGCTGCCGGTCCGGGGCTGACCCGAGCCGCCCACCTGACGTCAGGGCTGCCGGTCCGAGGCTGACCCGAGCCGCCCACCTGACGTCAGGGCTGCCGGTCCGGGGCTGATCCGAGCCGCCCACCTGACGTCAGGGCTGCCGATCCGAGGCTGACCCGAGCCGCCTACGTCACGTCAGGGCTGCCGGTCCGAGGCTGACCTGGGCCGCCCACCTGACGTCAGGGCTGCCGATCCGAGGCTGACCCGAGCCGCCCACCTGACGTCAGGGCTGCCGGTCCGGGGCTGACCCGAGCCGCCCACCTGACGTCAGGGCTGCCGGTCCGGGGCTGGCCCGAGTCGCCCAGCTGACTTCAGGGCGCGCCCCGGCCGGCCCTCAGCAGACTCCGAGCTGAGGGCAGCCACCGCGCCCGGCCAGCCGCCTTCACGAGGCAGCACATTACGGGAGCTGGCGGGCAGTAGATCTTGGCCTCTGGCCTCGAAACTTTGTCCAGGATGTTAACCGCGCCGGCTGCTGGAGAAAAGAGGGTTTATTGGGATTAGGATTTGAAGAGGTAGCCATGAAAAGTAATGTTCTGGGCACGTTGGTAGTAAATTTAAACTTCATCAGAAACGTGGTGGTAAACTAGGCAATATAGCTTTCAAGTGTTCATTGTATACATGTTCAGGGATACTTTCCATGCGTGGTTAATTCTGACTTAAGTGCGCAGGGCTTTAAAAATATGTGGTGCAATTTAAATGATGCTGCCAGCCTGGGTAGCCGGAATGCACCCTTCTATAACCAGGTTTGGTGGTGGATAGTGAGAATGGTCATTGTGGGGCTGGGCATGTTGGATAGACTCCGAACGTTGAGCTCAAGTTGAACATTTGGGTCGCCGTGGTACCGAGAGAAAACACTCTGCCGGGACAGCAAGTCACGGCGGTGGCCTGTAGCAAGCTTCTTCCATCAATGACTGCTGTATTTGACGCATTTTCATGTGTTGTTGAGCTTGTTTTTACCTTCCATCACCCACAAACCGGTAACGAGGAGTGCCCGCTCCTGTCCACCGCTGCGCACAGAGCCGCACATTAACACCCAAATTGGGAATAGAAAGTTGCAAGGTCACTACGCTCCCTGCTAGCACAAGGAGATATAGTAGGCATACAAGACAGAAGAGCACACAGGGATGCGTATTTTTCAGGTTCGTAGGGGTTATTATGGCGCACACGATTACAGCTCGAAAGTGTGCGAGAGATGAAAGAAGTCGGTGCTAAGTATGTGACCGACAGATCGTCAACATGAAGAATCATGTCATTCTAATGTTGCAAAACTACCTCTGATTTATGGACTTATAGCTTTGCGGCGAGTCAGGGTCCTGGCCTGGTCTGGTCAAATGAGTGCCGGCACGCCTGTCAACGGAAAACCAAGCCAACTTGTTGTCCATAAGGTAAACATAAGGTAAACATAAGGTAATAGGGCTGCCGGCGCAGTCAGGGTGGCCATGGTTGCGCTGAACATATGTCCCGAAGCTACTTTTGCATGCCGCACGCACTGCACAGTTACGCACGCACGCACGCGCGCACGCGCACACGCGCGCACGCATGCGCTCACGCATACTCACGCACGCACGTACGTACGCACGTACGCACACGTCAGCTTTGACATTTGACCTTAAACTACAGAAGGTGAAAGATAGCATTGACATGCGCCCGGTGGTGCCTGGTTAGATTTCATGTACCAAGCACCCTCACGAAGTTTCAGGCTTTTGAAACCGCCTACCGTTCGGTCTTACAGGTTTTCTTACCGAAATCGCTTTTTGCGTTGCAGTCTCCAGCCTGAATGGGGTCGGAATTTGGTCATAGTTTCATAGCATCGTGCGCTGACGCGCGATATATTCTTTCTCCGCTGTGGGCCTGGCCAAACATGCGGGGTTGTCTAGAAATGGTTTTCACGATCTAGAAGTTGAATACGTAAGTAAAGGCCTTGATGAAAATTCAGCGATATATCCGGAAATGCGCTGGTTTGGGGCGCCTGGCCTCCCGCGCTGAAGCATCAGTATGTTGTTGCTCTCCGTCCAAATGCACATGCTTGCGCGATTCAAACGAGAGATGATGTTTGCCATTGGTTTATTTAGGTATTGTTTTCGCGTTGTGTCCAAGTTCCATTGGTTTATGTAGGTATTGTTTTCGTGTTGCATCCAAGCTAAGAACCCGAGTTGAGTGTCCCCAAAACGCACCAGGAAAGACTTGAGTTGAAGCCTGACGGCCGCCGGCGATCGCACCAGGGGCATCATTCGGAGCCAGGCGTCGCCCAGTCCACCTTGTCCGGCGCCATGACAGAGGCTTCATTCAAATTCGCTTTAGCTACGACCGGATTGAAGCGTGCATTTTTTCTGTAGCGTTGGAAGCAGGGCAGACAGGAGAAGAAACGGTCTTTATCAGTGCGGAAAACGGGTAAGAACAAGCGTCTTCCATCGATCCGACGACCGGGAGCTAGCGCGGCTGATGACTGTGGATCTTGGCGCGGCGGTCGTTGATTTCAAAGTTCACAAGCCACGAGTTCACGAATGTATCGGTAGTCTGTGCACAACCCCGTGAAGCCAACACCAAGCTACGACGTGGTTTAGGCAGGGGACTGTAACACCCGGAACATGGTTTTAGCCAATTCCAAAACAAAACACGCGAAAACTGACCGGATTTCCCCCAAAATCGCAAATTTGGTCCGCGTGGTCGGCTACGAAATCTAACCAGGAACTACCGGCGCATGCAAGCATTATTTTTCACCCTCTGTGGGACGCGGTGGGTGGCGATATGTGGCATGCGCTTCAGCCCAGTGCCATTGGGTTTAGAGTGCAGCTGTTAACTGAATTCTGGTGGAGAGGCCTTCACCACATCCTTGTCAGAGGACAGGCGCTGCTTGACATTGTTGGCGGGGCGTCGGCCGGACTCCGGTGGCCGGGCGCCGGTCACCGCCGCGCCCCGACCGGTGATTCAGCGCCGGCTCAGTGGGCCAATGTCGGCGGCCGTGTGCCGGTCCGGCGGGACCGGTACCGGCCTGGCCGACCTCGGCCGCTGGGAACGGCGCGGCGCCCGGTCGTACGGCCGCTGTGCCGTTCGGTAGTGTCGGGGCCCGGTGACGCGACCCCGCCAGTCAGCATGCAGTGTGCATCAGAGAGCGACCGGCGGTTTGAGAGACAGCCGCAGCAGCTGCGGCTGTCGGGTGGCCTGCCAGGAACGCTGAACCTCGGCGGCGTAACGAACCGACGCTGCCTGGTGTGTGTGGCGTGGTTAGTTGGCGGCGGTTTGGTCCGCCCGGCTGGAGGCGCGCTCTGACGTCGTTTCCGGTGCGGAGCCGTGCCGGCGCCGAGCCAGACATCGGCGCCCCGCTGGCACCGGGCGGGCCCGTCCCCCGTGTTCGCACCGCCGCCGAGCCTTTCTCGGTCCTGGTTGCCAGCGATGGGATCAGAGACTGTGCAACGCGCCGCGCTCCGGCTGCTGTCCGCTGGCCTCTCAAGTTTAAGCTATCGATGACTGGACGGGTAGATCTGGTGGCGGTTTGGTTCCTGTGTTCGGAGAACGCGGGTACGTTTTGTACGGGACAGTGGTAGACCTAACTTCACATGCGAAGTTCATGGCGAGCGTTTTAGGCTAATACGAGTCATTGTTGGAAGTCACAGCCCGGGACTGGCACGCCTTAGGTTAGGTTAGGTTAGGTTCAACCACGGGGTGTGCGTTCGACTAGCCCTGTTGTGTTTTGGTTTCCTTCGCAGCCGGCGCGAAAGATGGCGACCCGGCCATAGTGGTTGAGCGACCGCGCTAGACGATATGTAGTACCTGTGTAGTCAATGAAGCAACCAACGAAGGGAATGTATATATATATATATATATATATATATATATATATATATATATATCACCAATTAAAATAGGTCGTTTCGAATAAGAAGGTGACGCGGAGCTTCATACAAATTGTCCGAGGGCTTCATAGACATTCAGTCTTAGGACAAAGGCTGGTCTTCCCCAAAACATGAAGTTTCCTTGTTGCTTAGCGGTTTTTTGTGGCTGGCCTGAATGATTTTGATCCGGAATTTACGATTTTGAGACATGCGGGGTGAGAGTAAGGCCCCCAATGAGGTGCAAAGTTTCGCCAGTGGTCAAACAGTAGCAGCTGTTCTATGACAGCAAGTATACACAGCAATGAGAAATCTCCAGCACGGGTGCCTCATGTTGAACCCTCGCGCAGGGCACCGAGCATGGCGTCGAGACGGGCTCGAAACGGGATGCATTGCGCTGAGTCAAGGGAGATGTTGCAAACCGCTGGACGTCAGAACTGGCGGGTGTTGACTGGGTTGACTGTCCAGCTGCTTCTCTGTCCTGTTGTTTCTCCTGATCCGGTGCCACCCTGTTGTGCTTTCTGGCCTGGTGCTGCCCTGTTATGTATCCTGCTCGTGTGCTGTCCTGTTATGTATCCCGCTCGGGTGCTGTCCCGTTGTGTATCCCGCTCGGGTGCTGCCCTGCCGCGTATGTTTATCGGGTGTCGTCGTGTTGTTGCAGACATCGCCGGCTGGTCTGGGCGGAGCGATGGCCGGCTGGTGCTCCATCGCTGCCACCTTTCGGCCCGCCGCCAGCTGCCAGTGACACACACCCGCCAGGCAGCCGGGCGGTCAGACCATGTCGCACTCGCTGCTGGAGGGCAAGCCCTTCTTCTGCCGCCAGTGGGCGTTCACCAAGATCGCGCAATGTCTGCAGCACAAGCAGAGCAAGCTGGGCGGAGCGCTGGTGGTGGGCGGCATCGGCTCCGGCAAGTCGGCGCTCTGTAGCGAGCTGGTGCGGCCGACTGCCGCCACCGGCCGCCAGCTCTCGCTGCACGCCCGCTTGCTGGGTCACCACTTCTGCCGCGCCGACGATGCCGCCTCGCTGCGCATGGCCGGCTTCATCGGCCGGCTCGTGGAGCAGCTCTCGCGCTCGCCCCTGCTGCCCGGCTACGCCGAGAAGCTGCGCGACCCGGACGTGCAGGAGGTGCTGACGCCCGTGTTCTGCGACCGTCAGCCGGACGAGGCACTGCGGCGCGCCGTGCTCTTCCCACTGCTGGAGCTGGACGAGCCGGCCCAGCCGCTGCTGCTGCTGGTCGATGCCGTGGACGATACGCACCAGGCGGTGGGCGGCGGCGGTGGCCGGTCCGGCAGCCGCAGCCTGGCCGAGCTGCTGGCCAGCCACCAGCACCTGCTGCCGCGCTGGCTGTTGCTTGTGGTCACGGCACGCCGCCACAGCCGCGAGGTTACGCGCCTTTTCGCCGGCTTCAGGAAGGTGGGCGTTGCTGCTAGCGCTGGCACAGGGCACAAATGCGGGGGGGATAAAAACCGTGCGATTCGGCACTCCAGCGCTCTATACTTAGGGCAGTACAACTGGGGCGCCGCATCTGCGACCATAGATCTTGGTACCCTCTTCGAAAGCTCATTCTCTCTTGGGATGGGCACATTTCTCTGCTGATTCTCCGCTGTCGTGATGCGCTAACTGGTTTTGAGCACCTGGGCTGCAACGCCTTCCGGGATCAGCCTCTTCAGTCTCGATATCCGGCTTGGTCCTGTTCAGGAGTCGGGAGTCATGTAGGTCAGTCGTGTCAGAGGCGCGGACGAAAGGCCTGGCAGTCCTCTGTGGACGAGGGTTAAGCTGCATTTTGAGATGGCTCGTTTGGAAGCCATTGGAGGGAGTATGCGCTGACACGCGTCCATCGCACGCGCTGTTGCCACGCTAACCTTCCCGTGTTTCCGTTTTCAGATCGTGTTGGACGATCTGCGGAAGGCGAATGTGGTGACGGACCTGCAGCAGTACATCCTGAGCCGGCTCGAGCGGGAGCCGGCGCTGCGACAACACCTCAGCAACGAAACGGCCGAGATGCTCAACCAGCTGCATATCAAGAGCAACGGTTGCCTTCTGTACCTGGAGAAGGTGCTCAACGGCGTGGCCGAGGGCTTCATCCTGCTGCGCGAGGTGCGCGAGATCCCGGGCACGCTCAACGGCCTCTACTTATGGCTCAGCCAGCGGCTCTTCACCAAGAAACACTTCCACAAGGCGCTGCCGGTGCTGAACGTGCTGCTGGCCGCCCTGCGGCCGGTGTCGGAGCAGACCATCTTCGAGTGCGTGCGCCTGAAGCACACGGCCGTGACGCGTGACGACTTCGAGCGCCGGCTGGCCGTGCTGGCGCGTCTCACCGTGATCACGCCGGATGGCGCCAAGCTGCTCTTCCACCACAGCTACGCCGAGTGGCTCACCGATGTCAAGTACTGCACGCAGCGGTTCCTCTGTCGGCGGGACGTGGGCCACGGCATGCTGGCCGCCTGGCTGCTGCGGCGCGCCCGCCAGCTGGCGCCTGACGAGGTGCAGCAGCTGGCGGTCCACCTTGTGCGCATGTCGGCCGAGCCGCCGCGGCCGGCGCCGCTGCCTCTGCTGCTGCTCTGGTCGGGCGCTGAGGTGGAAACGTGCCTGCAGGACGGCCAGCCGGACGACGCGGCGGCGCTGCAGCTGCTGGAGGAGGCCGGCGCCGAGCCGGCGCCCGTCTGCCACGCCTCCGACAGCCGACAGGCCAGTGTCGAGCCGGAGCCAAGGGCAGGGCCCGGACACGGCTCCGAAGCCGACTCGGCCTCGGAGCCCGGACTAGAGTCGGCGTTAGGTTCGGAGCGTGGGCTGGAGTCGGTGTTGGAGTCGGTGTCGGAGCCGGGACTGGAGCTGGTGTCAGGGCTGGCGGCCGAGCCCAGTCCGGAGCCGGAGCCGGACGACGACGGCCAGCTGCTGCAGATGTACCTGACGGAGGGCGAGCCGGCCGACGGCGCGGCCGAGGAGGCGCTGCTGCTGTCGGCCGCGCAGCAGGGCGACAGCAGCCTGGTGACGCTGCTGCTGCGGCGGCGGCGCGTCTCCTGTGAGTGCGTCGACGACGCCGGCCAGTCGCCGCTCACCGTGGCCGCGCGGCATGGCCACGCCGACGTGGTGAGCACCCTGCTGGAGGCGGGCTGTGACGCCGACCGTCCGGACGCCGACGGGTGGACGCCACTGCGCTCCGCCGCATGGGCCGGCCACACACCTACCGTGCAGCTGCTGCTGACGGCCGGTGCCGCCGTCGACAGCGTGGACGCCGAGCGGAGGACGGCGTTGCGCGCCGCCGCTTGGGCCGGACACGACGACATCGTGTCGGCCCTGCTGGCCGCCGGCGCCGCCGTTAATGGCGACGACCGCGAGGGCCGCACGGCCCTCATCGCCGCCGCTTACATGGGCCACGTGGAGATCGTGCAGCGGCTGTTGGACGGCGGCGCCGACATCAACCATGCCGACGCCGACGGCCGGACGGCGCTCAGCGTAGCAGCGCTCTGCGTGCCCGCCTGCGAGGGCGCCGGCCGCGTGGTGGCGCTGCTGCTGGAGCGCGGCGCCGACGTCAACCACCAGGACAAGGAGGGCATGACGCCGCTGCTGGTGGCAGCCTTCGAGGGGCACAGGTTGGTTCGGACGCCGGCAGGCACGTAGGGACGCGGCGCTGAGGTCAGGCCCCACCGGTGCTCGACCGCCGCCATCTGTACCGCGCTGCGACATGTGAGCTTTAGTGTGCGTACTATGTCGAGATGTGGCTGTGGTGCTTCAAGGCATACAGGCAACTCCATCTACACCACAGGACCATCTCAGTGAATGCGGCGTGTGTGTGTTTGATACTCCTGGCTTAGTGTGGATCATATGTGCGCGGTTTGTGCATGGATAGGCTCTTGGGCTCACTTTTTCTGGAATGAAATTCAGAGGATGAATTTTATCAGAGTTGAATTTCATGGAAAGCGCTGGAGTTCCAACACTGCTGACCTATGCCCCGTTCCAGGGACGTGTGTGAGCTTCTGCTGGAGGCAGATGCAGACGTGGACCACACGGACGCGGCCGGGCGGTGCGCGCTGTTCGCCGCCGCCTCCATGGGTCACCACCAGGTGGTGCGAGTGCTGCTGTTTTGGGGCTGCTACTGCGACAGCATCGACCCGGAGGGGCGCACAGTGCTGAGCGTGGCCGCTGCGCAGGGCTGCCTGGAGACGGTCCGACTGCTGCTGGACCGCGGTCTGGACGAGGCGCACCGCGACAACTGCGGGTGGACCCCGCTCCACTACGCCGCCTACGAGGGCCAGGCAGACGTGCTGGACGCGCTGCTCGACGCTGGGGCCAAGGTCAACGACGTGGACAACGACGGCAAGCACGCGCTGATTCTGGCGGCGCAGGAGGGCCATGTGTCGGCCTTGGCGGCGCTGGTGGAGCGGGGCGCCGACGTCAACCTGCGCTCGCACGACGGCAAGACGGCGCTGCGCATGGCCGCGCTCGAGCGCCACAAGGACGTGGTGCACTACCTGGTGTGCAACGGTGCCGACCCCAGCTATCGGGACATGGACGGCCGGAGCACGCTTTACCTGCTGGCGCTCGACAACCGCGTCTCGATGGCCGCCTTCCTGCTGGAGAGCGGCGCTGACGTGGAGAGCCGCGACCTGGAGGGGCGCACGGCGCTGCACGTGAGCGCCTGGCAGGGCCACCAGGAGATGGTGCGCCTGCTGCTGCAGCGCGGCGCCGACCCGGACGCCGTCGACGCTGAGCGCCGCACGCCGCTGATCGGCGCCGCCTGGCAAGGTCGGCCGGCCGCGGTGCGCGCGCTTCTGGCGCACGGCGCCACCGTCGACCACACGTGCAGCCAGGGCGCCACGGCGCTCTGCATTGCCTCCCAGGAGGGCCACTTGGAGTGCGTGCGCGTGCTGCTCGACCACTTCGCCGACCCGAATCACTCGGACGTGCACGGCCGCAGTGCTCTGAAGGTAGCACTTAAGGGCCGCCACGAACAGGTAGTGCGGCTGTTGGAGGAGTACGGCGCCACGGGCGCGGCGGCGCCGCCGCCGCTGCCGCCCTGTCACGCGAGCAACAGCAGCACCTCGATGAACTCGTCGTCGACGGCCGAGACGAAGCCGAGCAGCGCTGTACTGTGCGGCTCGTCGCCGACAGGCTCGCCCTCCTCCACCTTCGAGAAGCACCAGTCGTATGTGTCGCTGTGTAACAACTCGCACTCCAAGTCGAGCAGCAACCTGACCAGCTCCACGGGCAAGTCGTCTCAGACGTCGCAGCCGGCGCTGGACGTGTCGCCGTCGCCGTCGGGCGCTACGCAGGCCGGCGGCAGCCTTTCCTTCACGCAGCAGCTGCAGCAGTGTCGGCGGCGCGGCCGGCGTGCGGCCGCGGCCGAGGCCGACCCGGCGGCGCACAGTCCGGCCGGCGAGCGCCGCTCGGCCCCGGCCAGTCCGCACGCCCACCTGCCGCTCATCTACGCCGACCCGCGCGACTCGCGGCCCGCGCCGGCCGCCGCCGCCGTCCGGCCGCCCGGCCGCCAGTCCGCCTCCGTCCCCTTCACCTTCAACCAGAACGAGCACATGCGCATTATTCTGGGCACTAAGTCGGCATCGGTCGAGAGCAGGCCTCGCCGTGGTCTCGTGGCGGCGGCCAACTCCGGTCTGAAGGCCGGCCTGGGACTGCGCTCCCGCGTGGCCACGCCCACCAAGCCGCGGCCAGCGGTGCTCGGCGCCGACGGCTCGAACGGCTTCCACGTGCGCCGCGAGACGCCGCTATAATGGCCTGCTGGTAAGCGGCCCCCTCCCGCGCAGCGAGCTGGCGCGAGCGTCTCTGCCCGACGGCCGCGTGTTGTCTCGGACCGACGGCTGGTCTCGGGCCGCCGGCTGTGTCGTGTCTCGGGCCGCCGGTCGTGCGGTGTCTCGGGCCGACGGCTGTGTCTTGTCTCGGGCCGACGGCTGTATGGTGTCTAGGGCCGCCGGCTGTATGGTGTCTCGGGCCGCTGGCTGTGTGGTGTCTCGGGCCGCAGGCTGTATGGTGCCTCGGGCCGCCGGCTGTGTGGTGCCTCGGGCCGCCGGCTGTGTGGTGTTGGGCGCCGGCTGTGTGGTGCCCCGGGCTGACGGCTGTGTGGTGTTGGGCGCCGGCTGTGTGGTGTCTCGGGCCGCCGGCTGTGTCGTGTCTCGGACCGTCGGCTGTGTGGTGATGGTTTGCAGGCTTGGTACGCGCCGCACCACTGGGGCCCAGCACTTTCCAAAAGAGGGACGATTTGTGGAAAAGGTTTTGCGGTGGCGCGACGTAATTATTTTGGAATGTTCTGATCGCTGGATTTGACTCAGTCGTGCGAAACAACAGATGACGGTATTTGTAACCTTGCATCGCTGCAGCATGGTTTGGTGTTATTCGTTGCATTCTTCTGGATAGTATTACTGCCAGACAGAAACTGACGAGCAGGTTGCAGCTCTGGCGGATGGGGCATCCGATGTTTGGGAATAGGCGTAATAAGTGTAAATGTGCATGTGTGATATCTCGTGGTGATACTTGTTATTTTGACTAACCTGCAATATTTTTGTACGAAGTGTCGTGTTTGGAGCCGTCCGATTACGAGAACATGGTGAAGTTTCTTCGTTCTCGGATTTTTTCCGGTTTGTGTGTAGGCTTAAGTCGTCCTCTTTAGAGTGCATTCACTGATGCTGCACATCGTTGGACTCTGCTGCAGAGTGTGCCGCCGGTTGGACTTGTAGGCTTGACGTCGTCACGGATGATTTGTTTATACTTGTGCCCCGCGTGAGTGTGTGCGTGACGTCATCGTCTGTTTAAGGTCTTCAGCTTTGTCCCGTGTTCCATCCCTGCGACGTTGCATTCTGCCAAAAGCGTCTATTGCGCCAGATAGTGTGTGTGTTCGCCTCAGCCGTGTTTTGCCGCCTGCTGTCTGGTGGTTGCGCTGTTGTCTGACGGTAGTGTATCACTGTCTGCCCACCAGGCGGCCTGGCTGCTGTCAATGCTGGATGCCTTGGACGGCTCAGCCGTCGCCGTCGCCCAGCTGCTGCGGCGCGCGTCGCTGGCAGGGGACTGACACGTCCCCGGACCCAGTGGGCAGCCCGGAGCCTCGACAGCCATGCCCGTACCCGCTCCCCGCGCGCCACCGGCCAACTACTGTGTCTCCCGGGCTGGGATGTCTCGTTAGATAATTATTCGAGAAAACGGGTCGCTCCCTTGTTTTCTCCATATTCACCCATTAATGAGGCCTGCACTGCACGCGAAGCTTGTGTGCCGGCGCAGGTGCTATGTGTTTTTACGTCATCTGTGTGTTTCTATGGGTTTGAATCTATGGGTGCGTGTAGTCGTACGTATACGAGAATCGCGGTCTCTATGTTTCTAGTCCTACAACATAGGTGTCAGTGATAACTAGACGTCATCCGACCGTATCGGCTAGTTTTGTTCCGTTCGCCTAATGAGTTTCGTACGACTGCGCTGTAGCTGGTGAGCTGGCTGGTGCAGTACGTCAGGGCGCCGCCGCCTGTCTGGATGAGGTGGGGTAGCGTTCAGCAGGGGTGGGCCGTAGCTGCCCCCCCCCCCCCCACACACACACACCTGGCCCCCCTCCACGACCAATAGTGATGCTCCTCCAATGGTAACCTAGAAGGTGTCTGGCCCCCGACTAGCAATACTGAACTGTGTTGTGCCCTTAACCTGCACTGCCTAGACCCACACGGACGGATGGATCCGTCTGCACGGGACGCTTAAGCCGCTTAATACATGTCACACCAGATCTGCGCGGTCTGTACATAGCGCCGGAGTGACTGGTCGGGGACGTGGGTGTATGAAGCCGCAGCCGAATGTAACGCTTATAACGAGTCATATGCTTCTTCACCCAACATAGCTGTTCGCGCCGCCGTAAACATAACTTCTCCGGCACAGCGCTCTTATCCTGGTTTCTCTTCGACGAGCAACCGCCTAGGCTATCGTTTGTGCCCACTTAAGTACATGTTTGATACAGATGGCTTCTTTTCTTGTGAATGTTGAGTGGTATCGGGCATCTGCCGCTAAGTTGGACGTTTGTTAGCATCGGCACAGGCGCCACATCAGACCAGGCTCACTATGATATATATATATATATATATATATATATATATATATATATATATATATATAAGCCCAATGACAGCGCTAGTGGAATCCGCACGACGACGTTGAATGATGACACCCTGTTTGGAGTAACAACGCATAAACTGATCGAGGGAGGTTTCATGTCAGTATATTCACAATAGTATATTGGCTAAGCCAGGCGTCCTTAAGCCCTTGGATTCGATACATCCTTGTATTTCCTAAGGGGAATACGACAGTCTGAAGGCACAATGTAGCCAAACTGCATCTGATTCAAGAACCCTAACCATCCAGGACTCCAGTTGGCGCCGGCATGCAAGCGTTGGCTAAATGATAGCACATGCACGGTCACGCACTGGGCCGAACATATATGTTAGTGCCGCAAAACTGCAGCAGCATTTCCACCGACATCGGGTGTTTGAGCGTGGAAGGAGGAACCGGAAGTAATTCTGAGCTCGGATTTGTGTTGCCCGGATTCAGTCGCTGTGCAGAACGTCTCTTGTATCACGTTTATCTGTTATCTGCTCACAATAGGTAGGAATGCCCATGACTTTGTCGATAGGGTTTTGTGGATTACTTGGAGGAGAAATGCTGTTCATTCTTAGCGACTAAAAAAGTTTAAAAGGAACGAAACATTGCGCTAAACCGCCTTCATCTTGTTGAGCCATTATTTTGTATCATCATTCAGTCACGTCGTTTGTTTGGCGGGAGATCTATCACAAACGGCGCAACCGCGTTGGAGCGGCTTACTCTGGTAACGAAGACCGTCATCGAGAGATGGAAACACGCATCCGACACGACCAGCTGAGCACACTGCCAGTGAGAGTCTCGGAGTCGGCGACAATGTCAGCAGCCCCCGTTTGGTGAGCTCGTCACACTTGCCTCCCAGCGAGCTCAGGCCACGAGCACGAACCACACTGGGCGCTGCGAAGCAGATCCACAACACCCGCGGACATTCAGCGTGCACCGCCGTCTTTGTCAGGCACGTGCCGCCCGGTCCTCTCTTCTGACCCTTGACCCTGTTGCCGTGCCTCTTCATGCGTCATTGGATGCCACGGTTTCTGGTCCCACGCTTTGAAGCTCACTGGCTTCGGCCGCCTGTCCTCTGCGCGTAAGTTTTCGGTGAGCCCGGACCGCTGCTGACGTCCGGCGTGCTGCGAGTCTGGACCTCGGTGTCCTCTGCTCTCCTCCGCTGGCCCCAGCTGAAGTCTGTCCCAGCCGGGGTCCGGGCTGGCAAGCCCGCCTGGATCTTCCCCTCGCAGCAGATCACCGCGCTGCTCGTAGTCGGGCGACCCGGCACGACGCTGGTAGCCACCCTGCAGTGCGTACGGCTGGCTGTGGCTGTCGTCAGAGGCCCAGTAGATGGAGCCGAGCAGCAGGCCGCTGACCATGAGGGTAGTGAGCGTGGTGAGGCCGGGCGGCGCCACAGCCACGAGAGCCGACAGCGTGTCCATGGTAGGCGCGACACCGCGGAGCTTCTGTACGGGGCACCGCACGGACGGGACTGGGACGGTCCGCTCCTGGTCCGTTCCGAGCCTCACTTTGCAACGGTCAACGAACCGGAACTGGACTGGCCTGCGACCGGAGAGAGCGGCTCAACGGGCGGCCAGCAGCGAGTCTGCACGGCCGTCCGGCGGTCACTGGGCCACGTCTGCTGGCCAGGTACCGGTGCGACAGGCATCTCGGCGAGGCGCGGGCCGCCGGTCACTGGGCCACACCTGCTGGGTAGGTACTGGTCCAACAGCGGACATGTCGGCGATGTCACCAGGCCACCTTTGCCGGCTAGGCAGCTCTCGGACAGCGGACATCTCGGCCAGACACGGCCGGTCGTCGCAGCACGTTCGGAAGCAAAGCCCGGTCAAGCTGCCTCAGCTGTCCTGGCCCATCGATGGTGTGGTGGCAATGACAGTTCTGGCCTTCTGCCAACTTGACTTTTCGAATGCATGTGCCGAGTGACAGGAAGGCGAGCTTATTACATCTCCCGTGACCGACTTGTTATCGCGTTGCTTGCTGTTAACGGTGCACGAGTCCTGAACAGAAGTGACAGCATCGCAAAGTACGCCAGAATGTGCACGTCTGCATCTGCTTGACATCATCAGAGTGCCCTTGCAGCTCACCGCTGCACGTACTGCAGAAGAAATGGGCCTGATTCCACATGACACATTGCTGTGCGCGCTGGCTACCGACCTTGTTTCTGCAGGCAGGGGTGTCAATTTTTGTAAACTATGGGGGGGGGGGCGAAACAAAGGCCCGACAACCTACACCTCCCCATTTTTCTCACCGGATTTAGCCCACTGTATTTGGATTTACGTAACGCATGTTTTTAATCTTTGCATAATGTATAAAAGTACTTAAGCCGTGTAGAAATCATGCGGGGTTGGATCCAGAGAGCAGGCACTGGACGCACACATCTCTGATCGGCACGTGAAGGCGCCTTTTCAGAGGCCACCTTAGGGCGCCGATGGCGCCCTTCTTTGGCGGTCATGGGAGGCAGCACGCATTTTGGTTATGGGGGACGGGGACGGGGTTAGCCATTAAGGACTCGGCCATCCCCACATTCCAGAGTTTTTCACTTTAACCTCACAAATCATTGCGTGTCTTATGGCGCTAGGCATGTGCAGTTTATTGCATCGTTTATTCGCCCAGCTATTACGATTTGTATCTTATGGTGAAAGCA